GCGGTACGCGGGCCTCTCACTGTTGTGGCCTCTCCCGTTGCGGAGCACAGCCTCCGGACGCGCAGGCTCAGCGGCCATGGCTCACGGGCCCAGCCGCTCCGCGGCATGTGGGATCTTCCCAGACCGGGGCACGAACCAGTGTCCCCTGCATCGGCAGGAGGACTCTCAACCACTGCGCCACCAGGGAAGCCCACTCAATACATTTTAATAGAGTAATTAAACTGGATAAATGTGAATGCTGCTGGATTCACTGAGATAAACATATAAGCTAACAATAATGGGTGTGATATATGTAAACATATATATATACATATACATATATTTAATGCAATTATTCAGTCACTTACAGAAGAATATTCAAAATATAGCCCTCTGTTGTCAATTTAAAAGCAAGTTATTGTTAAGGTTGAGAAAAAAATTCATCTGTAACAACAACCTTTAGAAAATAGTTTTTACTGAATAAAAATAAATATCCAAACTGCTGTGCCTGACAGTGAATATAACTGCTTTTCCTACGTGTCGCCTCCAGACTGTGCAGCTTTCCTTTTTCGATTTGTGTGGAAACGTATGTCTTTCTTTCCCTGCTCGGTCGTGATGCTCTTGGCTTGGATTCCTATGATACACACAGTGAAGATGAGCTGCTGATTAATTGGATTTCCTAAAGTCACTAGGAAAAGTAGGCCCTGAGAAGTCAGGAGTGTGCACAGGCGGGTTCTTTCCTTTTGGGCTTTGTTTCTTTCCCGTGTTTACTGATTGGTTTTCACTGTTCATCTCTCCTAGTGCCTGGAGCCCTGCAAGGTGTCCTGGGACCTGCGGAAGCAGCAGTGCCAGAGCTTCTGTGAGGTAAGAGGCCCCGTACACAGCCACGGACACTCGGGACGCAGTTGCAGGCTGACCACATGCCAGTGGGTCCTTGGCATGGGAGGGCGTCATGTTCTGTGGCTGGGGAAGTTCACTTTCCTTCAGGTGTGTGTGTGTGCATGTGTGTGTAAATTCACATTAAAAAAATTCTCGAGACTTCTTAAAACCTAGCCACCCACTGCTTCCATTATTAGTTAATCACACAGTAAAACTTTTTTTTTATCACCAATGAAGGGTTCAAGCTGCTGCCCTCCTCCCACCTCACATTATGGCTCTTCTGTGGGTGATTCTCGGCATGATGATTCTCATGCTTTTGGAGGAAGCCCCCCTTTTATTGGTGGCGGGGTTTCTCTGAGATTTTCACCTGGCTGTTCACCCTCCGGGCAGCCCATACTCTGGGCTGAGGCTTGCCCACGGTTTCCCGTATGGAAGGCACCTTACTTTCCCCGTGCTCTCAGGCAGATGATAGAGCGTTGCTGTCCCAGACAACCACTGTCTAAAATCATCAGTTGTGCTGAAGAAGGGAAGGGCTGCTTTGCTGCACTGTCTCTTCCAGGGCAAACCAGGGACCCAGGGACCTGCTGTGAAGCAGCCAGGCTGACGGCACGGTGGCCGCTCAGAGTAAGAGCGGTCGGAAAGCCCACAAGGGCCGTGAGCACAAGAGTTGGAAGAGTCCACTCTGGGGACCAAAGCAACACCGTGGAGGTTGGTGGCGAGGGAACGCCAGAAGACATGCCCGTGCGGCATCAGAGGGAAACGACGCTGCAAGGCTTTTTTGAGTGGAATGGGGCGCTGATAGGGCACTTCCGAGCTTCTCCAAACAGACACAGTGGTCTGGTTCCGCCCCCGTGCGGGAGCTGCCAAGGTGGTCCTGTTGCCTGCGTTTCACCTTGGAGGGCACACAGATTCCGTTCTGCAAACATGCCTGTGGACCTGGGGTCATAACAGCGCCATCAGTTGTTTGTTTGTTTGTTTTTAATTAATTTATTTATTTTTGGCCGTGTTGGGTCTTCATTGCTGCGCGCGAGCTTTCTCTAGTTGCGGTGAGCGGGCTTTCTCTAGTTGCGGCGAGCGGGCTTCTCACTGCCGTGACTCCTCTTGTGGTGGAGCACGGGCTCTGGGTGCGTGGGCTTCAGTAGTTGTGGCGCATGGGCTCAGTAGTTGTGGCTCGTGGGCTCAGTAGTTGTGGCGCACGGGCTTAGTTGCTCCACAGCACGTGGGATCCTCCCGGACCAGGGCTCGAACCTGTGTCCCCTGCATTGGCAGGCAGATTCTTAACCACTGAGCCACCAAGGAAGCCTGAGCTCCGTCAGTTTTAAGGTGAGTGAAATAAAGCCTCAGTCCTGATACTGTCTCACCTTCCTGATAACCACGGAGATAAGCAGGGCACACTGTAAGTCCACAGAGCTGTGTGTGGAAGCTTGGAGGCCTGGGAAGCTGGAAATTATCAAGTCACATGGCTCACCCACTGCAGGTGGCAAGACTGCCTCTCAGCTCCATCTCTGACCCCTCTCCCCATGTCCATGAGCTGCTGTGGCTGGATTCCCCTTGGACGGTTACAGGGGCTCACTGTGTTACAGGGTTATTTTAGAAAAGTGTTTAGTGTTGTTTTGGAAAACTAGAATGGAAGTGTTTCTCAGCTGCTAACGTAATCAATACGTGATCTTCCTAATCTCAGTTTTTATTTTGCTCCAAAAGTTTCTACTCAGCAGTTTGTGACTGGCTGGAAGATGGGTGATTTGCAAACTCTTACATAATGACATCTGTTGCCAGAAGTACCTGGGGGCTGAGGATTTTACCATAAGTGAAGTCTTTGGAAGCATTTTGTAGTAGTGAACTTTAAAATGCTTCCGATAATACATAGGACTGGCAGATATTTGAAGTTACATAGCCACTTGCTCTGCTACTGACACACACAGCTAAGCTAATGATTTAGTGTCAAATCGATAGAAGAGCTCTCCTATGTCTTTTTGTATCTTGTCCTTTTCTGGACGTTGGAGATGACGCAGAGGAGCATAAATCATGGCTTCTGCCCTCCCTCAAGGGAGCTGACATATTATACTTCAGGTTTTCCAGAATCTCTTCAGGCTTCTTTAGGGATCCAATCCAAACTTTCCCAGGAAACATGCTTACCTGCCATTCACATGAATGTTTCTTTATATTACTTACCTCTTCCTGCATAAAAAAATTACCCCCAAACTTAGTGGCTGAACACAGCACACAGTTTCTTTGGGTCAGGAGTTTGGGCACAGCTTAACTGCATTCTCTGCCCAGGGTCTGTCAAGTCTGTAATCAAGGTGTTGGCTGGGCTGCATTCTCATCTGGGGGCTCGACTGTAGGAGAATCTGCTTCTAAGCTCATTGCAGTTGTCGGCAGAATTCATTTCCTTGCAGTTGTAGGACTGCGTTCCTGTTTCCTTGATGACTTTTGGCTAGAGTGCACTCTTAGCTCCTAGAAGTTGCCTGTGGTCCCTCCCCGCGTGGCCCCTTTCATTGGCAGGTCACAAAACAGCTATATACTTCTTTAAGGCCAGAATCCTGATTTCCAGTCTGCTGAGATGGAATTTTATATAACACCACATAATCTCAGGGGTGATAGTTCTTCACCGTGGCCATATTCTATTGGTTAGAAGCACACACACACACACACACACACACACACACACACACACACACATATACCACACACACCACACATACACACACCAGACACACACACCACACACACACATACCACACACACACACCACACACACACACATACCACACACACACACATACCACACACACAGACACACAGACACACACACACATACCACACACACACCACACACACCACACACACACCACACACACACCACACACACATACCACACACACACACCACACACATACCTCACACACACACAAACCACACACACACACACCCCACACACACCACACACACACACCACACGCACACATACCCCCCCACACACATACCCCCACACACACACCACACACACACACCACACACACACACACACCACACACCACACACACATACCACACACACACACCACACACACACACATACCTCACACACACATACCCCCCCCACACACACACCACACACACACATACCACACACACACACCACACACACACATGCACACCACACACACATAACCCCCCCCCACACACACACACGGAGGTGATTGCACCAGCGCAGGTCATGACTCTGTGGGGCCCATTTTAGGCTGTGGAGGGATTCAGGTCCCTTGAGACATAGAACAGAGAAGATTGATCAGAAATGGAAACAAACAAGCAATAAACAAAACTGATGAATCTGTGCAAAGACAAGGGCAGTAAGGCCATCCCTTAGAATGTCTCCTACATTTTATAAAGTGCACTCCTACTTTATTTTGTATTCTGTACACAAACTGTACATATATATGCTGCTGTAGAATCTAGAGGAGCAAGATGTGCCCTGCTGTTCGCTTGGTAAACACATTATCCCTTAATATCACTGACTCTGTGTTGTTAGTTTTACATCTGATCCCTGAGAAGGGAGATATAATTGAAACCTTTCTCCCTGAAATTCCAGATGTGATAGTGGGCTTCTGTAATTGCCGTTCTGTCTGAAATAACTGTGAGGACTTCTGAATCACATCGGTTTATTAAAATGGGACTCGTGTTTACAAATTGTGATCTGCCGTGGCAGAAAGGTTAATTGAAACTTGAAAGGTGGGGAAAACAGAGGCCAGTTAATGTGAGGGACTTTGTGGAGAGACCTCAGCCCATTGGTCCAATAACTCAGAGCCTTAATGTTCAATTTTAGCCACTTGGATTGTTCTTATCTCTCTCTGCGGTTTTTTGCTTCTGTTTTATTTTGCCCTAAATGTCTGACTATTATGCTTAAAAGACTGAATCCTGAAGAGACTCATCCCTGTTTCAGTATTTTTAAGGCTAGTCATTCATTGAGACAGACCCGTCCATGCCCCTGGTTATCACATTATGTATTAAGAATGCATACAAGTTCCATATTGTCCGGAACCTAAGCTTTCCCTTTGTAAGAGTTCAGACCCAGAAGCACTCCAGGTTTTATTCTGATCCAACAGAAACAACTAGACTGTTAGATATATTTGGCCCAATGTGTATATTTGCAAGATGGTCTGAGCTTTATCTTCTAAGGCATGAGCTTGCAAACCACACCCCACAGAGCAAACCTGGTCTGCCTCTTGTTTTTGTAAGTAAAGTTTTATTGGAACTTGGCCAAACCAGTTTTTTCTTTTTAATATATCATGTATGGCTGCTTTTGTGTTACAACAGCAGAGTTGGGTAGTTGGTAATATATCATATGGTCCACAAAGTGGAAACTTTACAGGAAGTCTGGCCCTTTCCAGAAAGCGTGTTCCAACTCCTGCTCTAAGAAGAACCACAGTCATAATGATATCACACAACCTACCTAACCATTCAGATTGTCATGATTTCTTAGTCTGTATTACCAGCACCAATTTCTAAACATAAGGTATTTTCTTGGTAATTTTAGTCATGAAGTTCTGCTTCATGACTAAAATGTGGAAAAGATTTTCAGGGGCACGTTAATAATAACATACCTAGAATTCATTCATGGCCTCCTCATGTATTGATCTCTTTAACTTCTCATATGACTATCTATACAGTTCTACTTGTGCTACTTTTTCAGGCTGATGGCAGAGTTAACAATGTTATTTTTTTACATGACATAGTTAAGTATATTAGAACGGGAATCTTTTTTTCAAAAAATTTTTCACATTTATTAACTCATCATAGGGGTTCACTCCAGAATATGTTTTCTGCTTTTGGATAACGTATGAACTCTGACAAAAGTCACCATCAGCATTCATTGGGAATGTCTCCAGTATGAATCTTTGGGGGCAAATTAAGATAAACATCTTGTCTCAAGAACCCTTTGGGATCCTGGTGTAGCTTACAGAAAAAAGAGGCAGTTCTGGTACACAG